AGTGCAAAAAGAACACGATATAATATATCGAACGTAGCAAACATGCTACAAAAGGCAGACTCATGTAGAAAAATTCTATCCTTTCTGAAAGATATCGGAATCTATAATCAAATATAAAATCTATGTGACTACAACACAGACGTAAATGAAATGTGGTCACTCATATCCTGAGAAGGTGCATGTGACCTTAAACATCCAATTAAAAAAAATATATATAAACAGTCACCATAAACATAAGACGAGAAGTTCGACGAAGCAAAGAAATAACCTACGAAGATTCTGTGGGGAATACATAGTATGAGCCCAACGAAAAAAATTAATTGGAACAAAAAAAAACTTTCAGGCTACAATAAATATTCAACAAAAGCCTAAAGGGTAAGTTACGAGTATATATGTATGTCTGGGTTCTACCAGCGCTCGCATATAGTTAGTCGTGGGTCTGGCATTATATCCCCCCTCGCGGCGTTCGAGTTGCTGCTAGACGGGGTCCGGGACACATTGTCCCGCTCTCCAGTAGCCCGAACGCTCGTGCTGGGCGACTTCAACGCCAAGTCCACGGCGTGGGGTGGCCCAGCAACGGACGCGAGGGGTCGGGCAGTGCTGGAGTGGGCGGCAAGCGCGGACCTCCAGCTGCTTAACCGGGAGTCCGTGAGCACGTGCGTGCGGTGGCAGGGCGAGTCGATCGTCGACTTGTCGTGGGCGACGCCTGCCGCCGCGCGTCTCGTGTCGGAATGGGGGGTAGCGGAGGAGGTGGAGTCCCTCAGTGACTACCTCTACATCCTTATGGATGTCTCCGCTGCCCTTCAGTACCATCCCGCTCGCGGACCCGCGTCGGGCCGACCGCAGCGCAGATGGGCGCTGAATCGCATCGAGAAGGACGCCCTGATGGCGGCCGCCCTCGCAGCGTCCTGGCCGGATGCCCCGGCTGGACTGGTCGCGGACGTCGAACGGGAAGCTGACTGGTTTCGAGAGTCATTGACGGCGGCGTGCGACGCCGCCATGCCCCGAGCCAAGAAGCTCCCGAGGCGGGCCTCTCACTGGTGGAGCGACGAGATTGCCGCGCTGCGTGCTACATGCAGCGCGGCGCGACGTCGCTTCACGAGGGCCCGCCGGAGACGGAACCGCGACCCGGCGAGGGAGGCGGCGCTGTATGAGGTCTACCGAGAGGCCACGGTGGACCTCCAGCGCGCCATCAGGAGGCCAGTAACTGGTCCGCCGGCCTGGGGGTCACCGAGGGGAAGCTCGGGATGGCCGTCGGGTGAATGGTGGCCAGGACTACGGCACCAGGGCCCGACGGCATCCCTGGGCGGGCGCTCGCTTTGGCGCTGCGCGTCCTGGGTCCCTGGCTCAGGCGGCTGTTCGACGGCTGCCTAGAGTCGGGGCGGGTTCCGCTGGCCTGGAAGCAGGCCCGGATGGTCCTTATCCCGTAAAAGGGAAAGCCCGCGGATTCGCCCTCCGCGTATCGGCCGATCTGCCCCCTCGACGAGGCGGGCAAGCTCTTCGAGCGTGTGCTCGCTGCCCGCCTGTCGGGGGGCCTGTCCGACGGGAGTATGCAGTTGGCTGGCTGCCAATACGGTTTCCGCGAGGGCCAGTCGACGCTTGATGCGATCGACCACGTCCATGCCTTGCGGACCGGGCGGTCTCCCGAGGTGGGGTGGCGTTGGCGATTAGTCTCGACATCCCCAACGCATTTAACACCCTGCCCTGGGGCACGCTCCGAGAACACGTCGTGTTAGCCGACTACCTGTCGGACAGGTGGATCGAGTACCCTGGCAGAGGCGGGGTGCCGATACGTCGTAGGGGCAGCCGAGGCGTGCCCCAGGGATCCGTTTTAGGACCCCTGTTATGGAACTTGGGGTACAACTCGATGTTGCGTGAGCTCCTCCCACCTGGTGTCTTTGTGGTCTGCTACCCAGACGACACATTGATCATCGCGGTGAGTCGAGATGGGACAGGGGCCAAAGGCTGGCGGAACTAGCGGCTGCGATTTGGTCGCGAGGATCCAGGCTCTAGGGCTTCGGATCTCGCCACAAAAGACAGAGGTAGTCATGTTTCATGGGCTACCTCTGACACGGCGGGTCCCCTAGACCTGGATCCGCGTGGGTGATGCGGCTGACCGGGTCGAGGGCCGGATGAAATATCTGGGCCTCGACCTGGACGGCCGGTAGCGCTGGGAGGGGCATTTCGACCGCCTGGTCCCCCGAATTGAGGCGGTGACGACCCTGTTGGGTCGTCTCCTGCCCAATCTCGGGGGGCCGGAAGAGAGGGTCCGCCGGCTCTACCTGGGGGTCATGCGATCCATGGCCCTATACGGGTCACCCGTATGGGCGCGCGACCTGGTGGCCTGCCGTCGTGGACGGCACCTGCTGCGCCGCATGCAGCGGCATATGGCCATCAGGATCTCGCGCAGGTATCGCACGATCTCCCACAAGGGGCGGCTATCCTAGCGAGGGTTGTCCCCTTTGATTTCTAAGCGGAGGCACACGCCGACGTGTATCGGCGTGTGCAAGATCTCCGTCGGAACGGGGGCGATCCGCAGGACGAAGCGGTCGAAGCCTACCGGCGCCAAAGGTGGCAGCTGGCCCGCGAAAAGTGGCGGCGCCAGCTCCTGGAGAGCGGCGCCGCCCGAAAGACGACGGTAGCGGCGGTCTTGCCGAGCTTCGATGCTTGGCTGGACCGCCGACACGGGCGACTCACGCAGGTGCTCACCGGACATGGTTGTTTCGGTGAGTACCTGCACAAGGTGGGGGCGGAGGGGTCGCCCGCGTGCCACCAGTGCGGCGCGGAGCTGGACTCCGCGCAGCACTTGCTGGAGGAGTGCCCGGCCTTCTCGCGAGAGTGGTGGGCACTCCGCCAAGCTATTACAGGGGACCTCTTGCTCCCGGACGTCGTTTCGGCCATGGTCGAGAGCGAGAGGTCCTGGAACGCGGTGTCTTTCTTCTGCAAGACTACTGTCTCGCGGAAGGAGCATAGAGAGGAGGAGGTTGAGGCGGAACAGGCGACGGCGGCTAGCTGCCGCCCCTGCCGCAGGGAGGACTGGTCCTACCCCGTAAACCCTCACCTCCTCCTGGCAGTCTGCCGCATGGGGCGGCCCTGCCCACGTAGCCGGCGAGCTCAAGCCTTGGGCTCGCCGACTGCCAGCAGGGCCGCCGGGCATGGGGGGGTCGTCACCCCCCCCCCCCCCCCCCCGCCCGGCCGGCCCCCCCCGGGGCCCCGGGGGGGGGGGGGGGGGCCCCCCCCCCCCCCCCCCACTCCTTTGGAACATGCCCGGCGCTTGCGCCGCGGGGGGTCGTTGGCCCCATAGCGGCATATTTCCCTGTGGGTCGGGGAACAGAATACGCCCATAGTAATCCCTGCTTGTCGTAAGAGGCGACTAAGAGGGACAGGCGAGACCGCGGGCTGTGCCACCCGCGGTCAAGTGGGGAGTTATTCACTCCCCACCGGAGATGGCACTCCTTCCTTCGTTGGGGGGGGGGGCACCGGTAGCGTTCGTAAGAGATCTCGGTGCCCCTCCCCAATGCGCCGTGGCCGGCCACCGTGAAGATTTAGTGGGTATTCCCCTTGATATCAAATCAAGGGGCGAGTCCCACACTACCCCCTCCTTATGAGGGGGCGTGCGTAAACGCATTTTCTCACGTAAAAAAAAAAAAAAAAAAAATGGGTTTGGCATTATAAGTAGCGGGTATCAATTGACTAGTCGTCGACGCTATTGCACTCTGACTATGCATTTTTCCAATGGGAAAAAGTTCTTACACAAAAAAAAACCCGCGTTAACGTATCGTTGTCAGAACTTAAAGGTATAGTTAGGGGCTATTTATAAGTTATATACCATATACATATGTACAGAGATGGGGGTGGCTCCTAATTGTGCATTAGTAGCCTTTGTCGCCTGGCTTGCAACCGCTGTTGCAGTCGTCTTTGGTTTTGTATTTTTCTCCTGATCTTTAGGTCTTCTATGTAAGGGCTGTTGGCGTTTAGCCACCTATATTTCTCGAACTTCAGTCTATGGAAGTCGCAACAGTCTCTATTTGGAAGGGCAGTGGAGCCTGCGAATTTTTCAGGGTTTGTTCTGTGGTTGTCGTGTGATAGCATTATTTTTTTGTCAGCCTTGTTTCTCTTCCAGTGGTATAATATGGGGATGTTGTTGTGGTCTTGAATGAGTCCTTGTTGGTCGCAGTATGTAAATGATTGTGGGGTGGTTTATCCGGTCGTCATCTGTCGTTGTGAAGTTATTTCATCCTGTTGTCTTATGTCTTGGATGACTGCATTGTTGATTTTTGGTAGGTTGCTATGGTAGTCACGTGTTAATTTAAGTATGAAGCTGTCAATTCTTGGAATATTTGCCATGTTGTAGATAGTACTATTTTTTATGTATCGTAGTTATTTGATGTGTGTGGATCTGTATAATCTTAGACATGCTCTTAGGTTTACGTTCAACGTTTACATTCACGTTTGCCTGGAAAGCCTTACAGGCTTTATCTAATTGCACTTGTAGGTGTATATTACCTCTAAGTATATTCTTAGATATTTAACAGTCTTCTTATTATCTATAGTTGTTATGCTGTTTGAGCCAGGTACCGTTGTCTTAATGCTAAAATGTTTATAACCTAGTTTGGCTTGTGCTGATAGCTTTCCTAGTGATTTTCTAAGTAATATGGTTTTGAATGTATGCGGATTCAGTCGTAGGTTCCATTTGTTGTAATAATTATTGAGTTTGTTAACTATTTTTTCGAGTTCGTGTTGGACGGTTATTGTTTTGTTGCTGTGGGTATACACTATCAGATCGTTTGCAAATGCGATCGCTGATAGTTTATCGTTGTCGTTGATGCCGAATATTTTAAGTATGTCTGCCGTAAAGATGTTGAATAAAATAGGTGAGTTCACCGTGCCTTGCTGGAGACCTTCCAATATATTCCAAACTCTTCCGTCGACAGCGCCGCGCCATCCCATGTGAGGAATTTTTTTTCCCTTATCATGTCCCAAATTGTACATGTGAGCCATTTTGGGAATCCCCTTTTTATTAATTTGTAGATAAGGCCGTTCTGCCACATCGATTCAAATGCCTTTTCTAGATCCAATAGCGCCGCACCTACCATTTGACTATTGCCCACTTGTTTGTATACGTCTGATAGGAGTTTGTGTATTGCGTGGGTTGTGGAATGCTGGTGTTTGAAACCGAATTGTTTATCTGGTATGATATTATTGTCTTTGCAGAATAAGGTTATTTTTGTGTTGATTATGGATTCATACACTTTACTAATTGCAGAGGTGAGGCTAATAGGTCTATAGCTTGAGGGGTCGTTTGGATTTTTCCCTTTTTTAAGGATGGGTAGTACTTTAGCTTTTTTCTAGATTGGTGGGAAGAATGATTTGTTGAGTGCATTGTTGAATAGAATTGTGTAGTTACGTATTATTTTAATGGGAAGATGTTTTAAGACTATGGGTGGTATGTTGTCAAGGCCACATGAGGTTTTATTGGGAAGGTGTTTGAATATTTTGCTTCCTGTCATTATGTTGCAAAAGCTATTAATGTTGTTGTCGTTTGGTAGTGGGTGTGAAGCTTTATTGTCGTTTGTGAATGCTGTGATTCAGATGCTCTGTTTGATGAGAATTCTTGTTTAAATTGAACTACGGTGTTGTTGACTATGTTTTGTAGGCCTGTATTGTTATTGAGATATCGGGGTGAATTGATTGATTCGTAGCAGGCTCCTATTGCGTTAAGTTTGTCTGCTGAGGTTGAAAAGATATAGTTGTTGTTTTCTTTTTGGGTGTTGGTTAAGTCGTATGAGATTCTATTGAGCAGTTGGGAGTTGCTTTCGTTTATGTATAGGTTGTCAATTTTGAGGGAGTGTCTAGGTCTTAATAGTTTGTTATTTCTTGGGAAAAATTCATCTGATTTTTGGTGGTTAATTTTTTTTAGTTGTTTAATCCAGAATTTTTCAGAGGATTTCTGGAATTCAGTGTGTAAGGCCTTTCTGACATTGTTTAATATTGATTTAATGATATTTATCTGTGGATTTCTTGGTGTGGGGTTAGTAATGTGTAGCGAGTGTAGGAGTGAAAGTAAGTATGATTTATCTTTTTGAAGGTTTTTGATTTTTGTGTTTGTGTATTTGGATATGCTGTTGGTCGTCTTAAAAATTGGGATTGGGATAATCGCGTTGAGGATAGAGTTGTTAATGAGAGTTAGGTTGTTTTCGATTTCGGATAGTGATAAATTGCGGTCTTCGGGTATAGATAAATTATAAAAGTTTTCTAGCTTATTTTTGAAGTTTCGCCATTGTGGCTTTATAGTTAAATCGCGGTGCGGACGTGCTGGTGTCGGATCCTGGCACACTGTCATCGGCGAACTGGGCTGAGAAAGTAATGGCAGC